TTTTTTTTTTTTTTTTTTCTTTTTTATATTATATGTTTTTTAAATATTCTTGCACACCTTAGTAGCTTTTAATCGTTAGAGTATTTGTTTAAGCTATATATCCTTCTATCTCTTCTTTAATCGTCTTACTTAATTATTACTCCACCAATTGCAACAGAAAGCGTGTTAATTAGGCAAACAATAATCAATAAGCCTTCTTGTTTCTCTAAAACAACAAATATTTTAAAACCAATTCGATTTGTCAATACAATTAATATTTTTTCGGACCAAATGTAGTGTAAAATATCATTATTTAGTTGATTAATATGTTTTTAATATTATGTAATATAACGAGTCTTGTCATGTATGTCAGCCTCATCGTCTTTACGTATAATGTGATCATGTTGCATGGAAAATATCGAAAGCTACAAAATGCATACGATATTAGTAAGACAAAGTTAAAATTTGCCAGGAAACAACACTCATTAATTTTATAAATATATTGGTTTAAAGTATTATAAACGTTGATATCAATGAAACAAAATGATACGAAAATCTTACTTAAAATAGAGTGCTAGTGACATATTTAAGAATTAGTCACACAACCCAATAAACTTGGAATTAGGACCATTTCCTTAAACAATAAAAAACTGATGTCATTGTGAAGTACAGGGCTTTGCCGGCTTGGATGTCAGTTTCACTAAATTTGACCACAAAATTAAGGAATTGCAGGTTTTAGAAAAAATTAACTCTGAAAAGTGCTGGAAACTGCAATTTCTTGATATTGTCATGGACGAAAAACACGTGCCCCATCTCGTGTTTTCTTTCTTAGTTTGAGTAATGACTTTTTCAAAATTTTTAGTTAAATCTCTAATTGTGCAAAAAGAAATACTACGTATTACATTTGTTACTAATTGTAATTTTTATTCACAACTGCTTAAATTCAAGCTGATCTTCCCTCCTATAACAGTGTAAACAATCTAGTAAGTAATTTGTTTCCTCATCCCTATAACATAACAGTCTGCAGGCAGGCAAGAATGTACAGACCACAAGAATAACCAAAAGGTGCTATTTGGCAATTTCCTTTTAAGGCTAAGATTTCTTCATATGGTTATGGTTTTTTCAAGAAACGACTTTGCTTTCTTAATGTCAAGAATTTCAGTTACATATACTCACAACGAAAAAATTATTTAAACTATTCGCGCAATTTAACCGGTTAGAACAAGTTATAACTCTACTTTTCAGGTTATCATATCAGGCTTGCTACGGAGAGTTACATGTTATTGTAGGTTAACTTAACATGATACCGTAAAAAACTTATGCATTGTTATTGCATAGAAGTTAAACTGAAGTAAAAGGAGAGTATCTTTGGAAGTTTTGTTCTACAATTATTGTCTATGATAACAGCAGGAATAGCTAGTCTTGCCATATATGCTAGCTAGACCTTGACGGAAGTGAAATAAATTAGTGATCACTGAAGTTACTAGATCACCTAGCTAATTGATTTACTTCTCATATGTGATTTGAAACTTATGGTTTATCAAATCAATGTTGAAAATCACCCTCTTCTTTTTTAAGTCCTCTCGTTACTCCAATCCAATTCATAAATCTTGAAAACATGCTTGTATAGTAAACAAGGACAAGAGAACAAAAACTCTCAAGGGTATGCCTCTTGATCAAAGGGTAATAACACTAAGATTTGCTACTACTGTCTTACTTATTTGTATAACTGACCAATATATATGTTGCCAAATCATGCACCATAATATGAAGGAATCTTCACTACATGTCAAGTCTCTATAGCTTAATCCCCACAGAACCCAAACAACACAAGTCTCAGAACTATTTGCTATCAACTGAATTCTATCTTATTGTCATATAAGCAAATTTTATATGCCAACATTTAGAAACTGAAATCATTTTCAAGTAGTCAACTGTAGGAATAGGTTTCACACAAATTGCTACTCTTATGTATGAGAACAAAGAAAGAAGAAACATAACCATTCAAGTAAGAGAAAACCTTCAACGGTATAAGCAACCTCAGTTAGATAACATCTTTAAGCAAAGACAATACACACTGTATCACCAGTGCAGTTTAAAGTAACACTACTCATCTGCATTGTAAGAATGTAAATGTAACTGTTAAATAACCAATACATAGACTGCAGTAATTCAACCAGTCATCGGATCTCTTGCGACCGAACTGGTGGAGTTATAACTGGGTTACTTTTTCTTTTGAGTGATTCTTAATTAGAAGCTGATATTTAATGATATGGTCAGTGCTGTCAGTTTTCCCTTAGTCTACCACAATATTAACTCAGAATTTCTTATTTATCAGAAACCCAAGCTGCATTTGGAAACCCCGGAGAACCATTACTGCTGTCACAGATTGTTGCTGTGTTGTGCCCATTTGCCTCGTGTTTCCCTGCCTCGGTAGACCCCTCACAGATACTGCTGTTTGGAGCATTATCTGTATGCGTATCACTAGTCTCATTACCATCAGAATCAGTGAAAGAGCCTTTATTTCTAGCGTAGGTGCTGTAACCATTCCCCTGATTCCCATTTTGAGAAGCATGACCCTGAGAATTACTAGTTGATGGCAAAAAAGTAGCGCGATTGGCTGAAGCACCCCACGAACTAGAAGCCCCATAACTTGCATCTAAATTATAGAAAGGACCATACCCATGATTCTGGCTGCTCCACTGGTTTATTGTGACACCGGGCAAGCTGCTAGCATAACCAATGCTGGCCAAAGATGGATTCACATATACTCCAGCTGCCCCACCGTAGCAAGTATAAATCTCACAACCATAGCCATAGTTATAGGGATTGTAACCAACAAAAGTAGGCTGCGCAGACCTAATGGGACCAGAAGAACCATAACCCAAGTAACCTCCACCACCACCATTGCCAGCAGGATTTGCTTCTTTAGGCAGGGCGCGTTTTACCTCCACTAGTTTATTTTTCAGTTCGTGAAAGTTTTTATGAAGAACTTTATCAACAGCATCTTCTGTGTCAAAGGTGATGAAACCAAATCCTCGAGGGCGACCAGTGCTTGGGTCATACATTATTACTTTATCTTTCACATTACCGTAATTTTGGAAGTACTGCCGAAACTCTTCTTCAGTAAGGGAAGAAGGTAGCCCACCCACAAATATTTTTCTAGTTCTGACATTCCCTTCAGGTTCTGTTTCTATATCTTCGCCAGCATAAGGAAGTTGCGATCTCAAGCTCTGCTGCTGTTCTCTTGGTAAAGCCCTCTTAGTGTCCACCTGAACAGCAAAACTGGAGTTTAAAGTGAAAACAGCTAAACAAGTAAACAGACATTTGGTCAGCAAGAAACTCAGATGTCATTTAGTTGAAGCCAAGCTACAACGTTGCAGCTACCAGCGGAATTGTTTGTCATGTTTAACACTGCTGAGAACCTTCAGAACAAGGAAAAGACTCATATGATTCAATCGCGCCCACTAGAATATCATGTCTTGGAATGACTTCAGCTCAGATAAACATATTCAACACTATAAAACAAGAAAATCTAACATATTACTCCTTTACATCTCTCCTCTGGTAATTTTTTTTCCAAATAAGTAACTCAACATGGACTATTTTACTAAAAAATGAAAAGCATATGAAGCAGAATCCTTAATTATCTAAGGAAGTTTGTCCTCACCACCCTGCAAAGCTGATCTACTACAATTTCCACACAATCCAGACAAAACAAGCTGAATATTTCTTCCCTGCCCTCCCACTCTCCTTCATAAATGTGACCTTCTGCACTAACGCACTGCACCACTTTTAATCAAATAATCTAAAAGTAAAAATTACAAGTAAAAAGAGTGATAGATGAGCTAAGCAAAGGAAAAGGAAGTAAAAAACGAACAAGAGTGCCTAAATCCCCCTTTACATTTTCAGAATGCCACACTCCTCTAGTTCCACAAACAGAAACAGGACTGTGATTCATCATACCCATTTAAGAAATTGGACAAAAAGGCAGGATTCAGAAATTTTAGACAGTGTATTCTAATATACACGTTTTTTAGAAATTCTTTTTCATGTATATAAACGGGGTAATTTCACGGATGGAAATTAAACTTTTATTTTATTACATCAAAGTCACCGAACTATTTCTAACAAAAATTTAGTCAACTTTGGCTAAGTAACACAGAAAATCATTAAGCTATATTTTTATAACAAAAATATCACTCAAATTTGCCCAAATATCACATAAAGGCGAAACTAACCCATATAAACGGTTCAAGGAGAAACTAGAAGGCCTACACATAACACATGCTGATGCAACTAATGACACAATCCCAAAACTGCATTAACAGAACAACAAAAAACTTCGAAAGCATACAAACATCAGTGAAAAGAATAGAGAAGAAAACTCAATCATGATCAATCTTGAAACGTACGAAAACACAATGGGGTTACGCCTACAAGATTGATCAAAATAAACGAACACCACAAAAAATTAACAGCAAGCGGTTTGGAGATTTATAATTAGCAGGTTCTGAGAGTGAGCTAGAGTACTGGCTATCATATGTACACATTCAAGATCATAAATTTGTAATATTTCATACCGAACGGCCATCAATGTTGTGTCTGTCCTGAAGAATGATATCAATAACAGAAGGATCAGAGAAGAGAACAAAAGCAAAGCGTCTGGACAAGCCAGTGTATCTATCACGCATGATCGTGGCATGTTTAATTTCTCCATAATTGCTAAAATAGTCTCTTAGCTTCTCCTCCGTTGTTTCCCATCTTAATCCTCCTACAAATAGCTTCCCTTCATCTGATTCCATAATTCTGATAAAGAAGAATTCTTTCCTCTGCTATAATAATAATAATAATAATAATAATGCAGTTTACGTAAATATAGTAACTAAAAGTAGAAAGAGAGGGACAGAGCAATTATATGGAAGCATGCCTAGGGTTTGGGGACAGTGACCCAATCTCAATCGGAAAAGGGGATCAAAGCAAATCTTGAACACAATTTCCTGATTTAGGGCAGATTTCCAATCAACCTCCAAAATCCTATTCCAACTGAAACTGAAACTCGAAATAACCTTTGACCTTTATTTATTTGATCCTTAAAATAAATCACTTACAAGTCATGAATTGTGAAAATATATATACATCCGCTATTAAATAGTTAAACTATATATTCGTTAGCTAAATATACACTAATTATATCTAAAATATATATGCCGGCTATTATTTTTTAAAACGACTATACTATATAGTTTTCTTTAAATAAATAACCCCAAATCAATTTCTCTCCTCTTTTTAGTTTACTTTTTAATTTTTCATAAATGTACTTATTATTTTATAGTTCGGCACACGTGTAAATGCCAATTAAAATGTAAAAATCTCACTTATAGTTTTGAATATTTTGTTGAAATACTCTTTTCCGTCTCAAATATTAAAATATTTGATACTTTTGAAAAACAAAAAATTATTTATTAGACCTTTTTTTCTAGTTCTACCCCTATTAGTCTAATTAGTGGAGTGTTATATTAAATAAGATTTTTAAAGATAAAAGATAATTTAGATATATGTGGTTGTGATTAAGCCTATTAAATATTTTTCTCAAGAAGTGTATAAAAACATTAAAGAATAGATAATATGGACATGACTGAGTTATCACCAATTACTTTGTTCTCAATGTCTCGTATTAGACGAGTAAGTTAAATAGTAACATTATCATAAGCAAATAGTAATAAAAAAGAATACAACAAAAAAGAGTTATGCAAGAGAGATAATAAGGGATGTGTGGTGTGATTGTATTAGCAAATACTTTCCTTTTCTTTCTTCCCCAAATATTATATGTGAAAGTCTAACGCTCTAACAAACTTTGAGCTAAAATTTGAAACGTCTTTAATAATATTTAATATTTTTCACATTTCTTACAAGGTTATTTTCCTATTTCTTTAGTTTCATATGGAGATACTTCCACTTGGTGTTGCGGTTTGGGTTATGACTCTGAAATTTGAAGTAAGACATGGATGTTATTAGAATTGGGCTGGCCCAGGTGGGAGTCTGAATGAAAATGAGTCCAAATTTATTATTACCTCCGTTCCAGTTTATGTGAACCTATTTCTTTTTTGGTCCGTTCCAAAAAGAATGACTCCTTTCTAAATTTGAAAATAATTTTGCTTAAACTTACAATTCTACCCTTAATGAGAAGCTTTTATAATCACACAAATATCATGCGCCCCTTTTTGAATTGTTTAGGACCACAATTTCCAAAAGTTTTCATTTTTTATTAAACTTCGTGCCCAGTCAAACAGGTTCACATAAATTGGAACGGAGGGAGTATATATATAAATTAAGTTTTTAGCCTTTGTTATTTGATCCCTAGTTTTCCTTATTTTCAATCAAGTCCTTCTGTGTTGGCTAGTGAAGGGTTGGACACGTGTCATAGGTGGTACAAGTTTGTTAGCTGTAGATAGTTTTTCCAGTATTTAGGGAACGCCGCCTTATATTTTGGGGTTATTAGGCAAGATATGATATTGCTCCAACTTACTGAGGATATGACCATGGATAGGAAGGTGTGGAGGTTGAGAATTAGAGTAGAGAGTTAGGTAGTCGATCTTTGTCTTTGTTTGTTACAGTAGCTTTAGTACACCACTTAGTCTCTTTCGTGTATTTTCGTCTTTCTAGACTTCTGTTATTACTTGTTGTTGTGTTCACTTCGGTTTTTAATTGCATTAACTAATGTTAGTTGTGTGTGCGTTTTCGCTTGATTTTCTGATTGTTTGCTTGTCATTGGCCCTTCCCTTTATCTTTTCTAAGCCGAGGGTCTACCAAAATAATCAATCTGCCTTTTTAAAGGAGGGGTAAGGTACATACTATCCTCCCCAGACACCACTAGTAGGAATATAGTGGGTTTGTTCTTGTTGTTGTTGTTGTTTTAGTTCTTGCTTTCCTTTTCATGGCGATTTCAATGTTGGATCCGCTACGTTTGGTATCAGAGCCAACGTTTCTCGGCCCGAATTTCGCAGTACTATTACTATTACTATTACTCATTACAACTTTCGGCTACTGCAACCATAACAAAGCCTCCTTCCTGGAGCTCGCCTAATGCCTATTTTCATGATTCTCCTCATCCATATGAAGCACAAGGATGGGCCAATGGGCAAAAGATTTCAGCTGAGCAACATATATTTCAATCTTATTCGGCAGATCCCAACTATGCAGATCTCAGTTTCCATCCAAATTAATATAACTTTGAGCGAATCTCAGTAGCCACGTACCTTCCACAAGATGCTCTGCACAAAAGGCGTGCCACTGGTAGCAAGAAGAAAGCTTGGAGGAAGAAGCGCAAGTATGAGCTTGGTCGCCGACCTGGTAATACTAGGATATCTATTAACAAGACAGTCAGACGAGTTCGTAGAACTACTCTTATCCACAAAATCCCTACGACTTTCAGAGAGTGGGAAAGTGAGCAACAAATTTCAATTCAGCCCAGCCTAATCACCAATGCACATTCTATTTTCTTTGAAATCCACTCATTGGTATGAGAGAACATTCGTCGGTCGGAGCAATTTTAGTGGAATTGTGAAGCCTATCGACAATGGAGAGCCACTTATATGGATTCCCCTAACATCGAGTTTAACGGAGGTTCCGCAGCTTTAGCGATTATGACGGAGTCTGTTTGGTTTCTCAAAGGGAGCAATAGACACCAAGGTAATACCTGACTTAACCGAAAACTATTTCAGTGAGTTTGTTGTTTTTCCTTCTTATGTGATTTCATTTGACCCCATTCTCCACGATTTGGCTGATGGAACACCGGATGTTAATGATGAAGATGCTATAGTTTTAGGAAATAACAGAGGCCAAATGTTCGACAAAAGTCTTTAACTCGATGAGATTATAGGAGACCGGCTTGGGTCAATAAGAAGAAATGAGAGAATTTTTCAAAATAATGAGGACCAAGTGTTTGATGAAAGTCTTCAATATAATAAAACACGTGCCATGTTTCAATATAATTTTAAGCAGTTGCAATGGTTCCAAAACCTTGATGCTTCAGTCTATGCTAGTGAAATGGATGGCAATAATCTAGTTGCCGAGGAAGAACTGGGATATATAAGTGCACCTAACGTTAAAATCAATTTTGGTGAATTTTCTTAGTGCCAAACTGATGGGGAAGGAGAGGTACTGAAATCTGAGATTGAGGAAAATTCAGAAAATGAGATGGATCTAGTCTAACGATCCGACCAGTCGTTTTGAGTTTTAGCATGTTTTTTGGCGGTTTGAGACCTTGAGTAGCTTCACTTTATGTATTATGACTTGTGCATATAGTCGGTTTTGATTTTCAGGAAGTTCAGAGTTCATTTGGAAGGATAATTCTCAATTCAGAAGCTTTAAGTTGGAAGAGTTGACCGATGTTTGACTTTTGAGTAAACAACCTCAGAATCAGGATTTGAAGGTTCCTATAGGTTTGTAAGGAGATTTCGGACTTGCGCGCATATTCGTGTTGAGTATCGGATGGTCCATGAGCGATTCAACGCATATTATCGAAAGTTGCATTTTTAGAAATTACCTCATATGTTCTATATTTGTTATGTGCTACGTGTTATGGGAGCTATACACGTATGAGGTAACGAGTGTCCGCACGTATGCTAGATTCTTGATCATATCTGGGTAGGCTTAGGCTCATACCATGTTTAACTGTATTACCTGAATTGTCCTTGCCTGTTTTAAAAGCCTCATATTACATTTTAGCTTGAGACTAGTCTGGCGTAAAGTACCAGACTTGTTATTTCAGATATTTGACGAGCTACTTGATTAGTCGTGGAAATTATACTTCCATTTACGGATTTCTTTCGTGTTGTGTGTATTCGCCTGAAAGTTTTCTTGAATTTTACAACTCATACGTATATTCGTGAGTGGAGTCAATAACCCGTCAAAGTTTCATATTCTAATGGGATTGGGTTGAATGCCTCAACAGTACTCATATAGGATCAGGTTGTTCGCCTCGGCGGTATTATGTAATACGCTCTTATGGGATCGGGCCGTTCACCTCGGCAGTATCATGTAACCCATTCTTATGGGATCGAGTTGTTTACCTCGGCAGAGTACACTATTCTTATGGGATCGGGTCGTACACCACGATAGGATATCATACTATCACTCTTATGGGATCGATTCGTTCACCTCGGCAGAATCGTGCGTGATTTTCGATTATGAGACAATATATCTATGAATTCTATCTGAATTGATATGTGATATTTTAGTAGTTATTGATCTGGCATACATTTCATTCACGGTAATATTCGATATTCGAGGAATTTTTGTTTCGTCTGTTAAGAATCATTTTTATGTACATATATATGTCTTCACTATTTTTTACGTGCCATGCTTCATATCTGTCTACTTTTATTGCATTTGATTTATTGGACCAATAGTTAATGTCAATGTTTAACCTTTGTACTACTTCTTTGGGGTTGGGCTAGATACTTACTGGGTACACGTTGATTTACGTACTCATAATACACTTCTGCACTAATTGTGCAGGTACTGAGATATATACATTTGATGGTCATGTTGGCACATAGGCGCAACTGTTGAGGAGACTTTGTGGTGAGCTGCATTTCATGTTAAGACCCACAGCACACTAAGTCCCCATCTTATTTATTTACTTTATCGTGTCTATTTTATATTTCAGACTGATATTGTAGTAGTATTGTACCTCCTAATAGTTGCTCGTGCACTTGTGATGCCGGATTTTGGAAGTTTCTAGTGGACTTAGTATTATTATTGTCACTTTGCTTTATGATTTATTTATTAGAATGGATAATTATGTTTGGAAGTTCACGTGTTGGCTTGCCTAGCAACATCGTTGGGAGCCATCATGACCTATTATAGGATTTGGGTCGTGACAGCTTGGTATCAGAACACTAGGTTCACTTAAGTCTCACGAGTCATGAGCAAGCCTAGTAGAGTTTTGCGTATCGGTACAGATACGTCTGTACTTATCTTCGAGAGGCTACAAAGTTGTTAGGAGAACTTCCCTTTCTTGATTTCTTGTCGTGCGAATTGATTTTGGTTGAAGCTTATGTCTTCAGTCCCTTCCTACTAATTAGTATGCGATGT